ATGAAGCCGGATCTTCAGCTGGGAGACGCTGTTCGGACTGTGAACGCTCGACCTCTGCAACCACCAGCAGTTGTCGAGGTAAGGGATTGCTTGAAGCGTGCGCTTACACTTACTGCACTGTTTATATGTCTCTGCACTTCATGCACCTCATTCTAGCACATTATAATTAATACAAGGTAATATATGTGTACATATACATACATACTTACTCATTGTTTGAGAACGCCTGCAGGATCGGGTTCTGTGGCCGCCCGTAGCCATTGCGAAGAATCTACAGGCTTTTTGGACGTTAGATGCAGAGGAGAACAGGAGACTGGACGGCATTCTTCGGGAGCAGGTGGAAAGCGCTTTCAAGGGCTACGGGCCACGGAGAGTGCATATGGTTCGCAGTGAGTGAGGGATGACCGTCGCACACCTGCTTGACTTCACAGTGAGCGGGGGTGACCCATACACATGCTTGCGACTTGCGACTTTCATAGCGAATCAGACAGAGGACGGACATTCGGGGTGGGGTCACTGGGGAGCATTTGGAGAGCATTCTCAAGGACTATGTGCCACAGAGAGTGCATGTGCTTGGCAGCGAGTTGGGGTTAGCCCATTCACATGCTTCTCTCTCTCTCTCTCTCTCTCTCTCTCTCTCTCTCTCTCTCTCTCTCTCTCTCTCTCTCTCTCTCTCTCTCTCTCTCTCTCTCTCTCTCTCTCTCTCTCTCTCTCTCTCTCTCTCTCTCTCGCATATACCTGCGATCCTACACATGCCTTGTAAGAATAGTGAAGGAACGAATGACTGAACTAGCAAACAGGTGGGTACAAGTAGGAAACCTAAAAGTGTTGTACCCTATATGAACTACCCCACTACAGCCTACACAGACTATAGCATATAAATTTGACATGCCTGCGATCTCGAGTTCGTCGCAGGGATTGCAGAGCTTGTGTCTCTTGATGTGGCGACCTCAAGATCCACGCATACACATGCATGTAGTTTTGAGGCGCGTCAAAACTGATGTGGCGACCTCAAGATCCACGCATACACATGCATGTAGTTTTGAGGTGCCTCAAAACTGATGTGGTGACCTCAAGATCCACGCATACACATGCATGTAGTTTTGAGGCGCCTCAAAACTGATGTGGCGACCTCAAGATCCACGCATACACATGCATGTAGTTTTGAGGCGCCTCAAAACTGATGTGGCGACCTCAAGATCCACGCATACACATGCATGTAGTTTTGAGGCGCCTCAAAACTGATGTGGCGACCTCAAGATCCACGCATACACATGCATGTAGTTTTGAGGCGCCTCAAAACTGATGTGGCGACCTCAAGATCCACGCATACACATGCATGTAGTTTTGAGGCGCCTCAAAACTTATGTGACGACCTCAAGATCCACGCATACACATGCATGCAGTTTTGAGGCGCCTCAAAACTGATGTGGCGACCTCAAGATCCACGCATACACAGGCATGCAGTTTTGAGGCTCCTCAAAACTGATGTGGCGACCTCAAGATCCACGCATACACATGCATGCAGTTTTGAGGCGCCTCAAAACTGATGTGGCGACCTCAAGATCCACGCATACACATGCATGCAGTTTTGAGGCGCCTCAAAACTGATGTGGCGACCTCAAGATCCACGCATACACATGCATGTAGTTTTGAGGCGCCTCAAAACTGATGTGGCGACCTCAAGATCCACGCATACACATGCATGTAGTTTTGAGGCGCCTCAAAACTGATGTGGCGACCTCAAGATCCACGCATACACATGCATGTAGTTTTGAGGCGCCTCAAAACTGATGTGACGACCTCAAGATCCACGCATACACATGCATGTAGTTTTGAGGCGCCTCAAAACTGATGTGGCGACCTCACGATCCACGCATACACATGCATGTAGTTTTGAGGCGCCTCAAACCTGATGTGGCGACCTCAAGATCCACGCATACACATGCATGTAGTTTTGAGGCGCCTCAAAACTGATGTGGCGACCTCAAGATCCACGCATACACATGCATGTAGTTTTGAGGCGCCTCAAAACTGATGTGGCGACCTCAAGATCCACGCATACACATGCATGTAGTTTTGAGGCGCCTCAAACCTGATGTGGCGACCTCAAGATCCACGCATACACATGCATGTAGTTTTGAGGCGCCTCAAAACTGATGTGGCTGTCAGAAATGAGAAGGAAAGAATGACAAGAAAGAGAGCAGTACAAGGTTTGTATAGGCAAAACCTTATTTGGGCTGTACCCCATAAGGAGTGCCCCACTACAGCCTAGAGCATATATGCATAGTTCTGACACACCCCCATAGGCAAAGTGGGGGACAAGCAAGTGAACGAAGCAAGGTCAAGCTTAGGGTGGATCACAACGTCACCACGCATTCTGAGCACAAGCAAATGGCCACGAGGCCAGTTCACATGCAGAGTTATATATAAAGAAGAACAAGCAATACAGTGATCACAACCTAGCAGGTGGAAGCATGCAGGTATAAGTATATAAATCACAGTACAAGCAAAGTCAAGAAGTGAGCAAGTGAGGCCAACTAGGCACAAGGCCTAAAACAGTACAGAAACGCTGATGATCACAAGGCTGAAGTGCCTTGGTGAAGACATCAGCAGTGTTGGCCTGAGAGGCCACGTAGACAAGACGAAGCTGACCACGCTGTTGCAACTCTCGAGCAAGGAAGTAGCGCAGAGCGATGTGCCTCGTTGTGTGCTCCAGTCTGTGCTCCTGACACAAGGCAATCATGGCCTTGTTGTCGACGTACAGAACTGGAGGAGAACGAGGCGGCTCGCCCAAGTCGGTCAGCAGGTAGGTGAGCCAGCGTAACTCCTGTGCAGCCATGGCCCCTGCGTAGATCTCAGCCTCACAACTGGAGCTGAGAACTGAAGACGAGCGGGTAGACCGCCACAAAACAGAGCCGGAGCCAAGGCTGAAGGTGTAACCCTGTAACGACCGCTGCGTAGCCAAGTCGTCAACCCAAGAAGCGTCAGCGTGGCCAGTGAGGACAACTCGAGCCCGTCCTCCAAGCACGAGCCCCATGCCCGACGTACTGCACAAGTAGCGCATCACCCTCTTAGCGGCCTTCCAGTGCTCTGGTCGGTGTCTCCCGGGCGCAACGTAGCGAGCCAGGATGCTAAGAGGGTAAGCAAGGTCAGGTCGAGTGCAGGTCATCAGGTACATGAGGCAGCCCACAAGCTCTGGATACAGGCCACTCGGCTCTACGGACTCATCCGAAGGCAGAGCTGAGAGCGAGTGACCGGTAGGCAGAGGAGTGGCCTGTGGCGAGGAGTACTCGAAGCCGAAGCGCTGAAAGACCTGCTGCACCATGTGTGACAGAATCAGGGTAATGGTGCGCTGTGCTCTGTCCCGGGTGATCTGCAAGCCAAGATAGCTGCGCAGCTCACCCAGGTCTGTGCACGTGTGTCTCTTCTGCAGCTCCGACTTCACGTGGGCGATTCCCTCAGGGTCAGCAGTGGCAAAGACCAAGTCGTCGACGTACACGAGGATGTAGAACGGCGGCAGAGAAGTGTCGGTGCGTAGAAACAGCGACGGGTCAGCAGTAGAAGGTGCAAACCCAAGAGCCGCAAGAGTCGTCCTCAGTGTGTCGTGCCACTCACGAGGCGCCTGGCGGAGACCGTAGACTGGCCGCCGGAGGCTCCACTGGGTACCAGCAGGAAACGACCCAGTGAAACCAGGTGGGCGGCGCAGCCAGATCTCCTCGTGCAGGCTGCCCTGTAGGAAAGCAGTGCTGACGTCAAGAGAGTGAAGCTCGTAGTCACGCTGAGCGGCGACGTGCAGCAGAACCCAAAGAGTGGTCATCTTCGGGGTGGGGGAGAAGGTCTGGAAGAAGTCAACTCCCTGTCGCTGACTGAAGCCTCGTTCAACGTAACGCGCCTTGAAGACAGGCGGAGAACCCGGCGGCCGCTTCACCCTGAAAATCCACATGCCACTGACGATGTGCGCCCCGGGTGGGGGAACCTCGTCAACGTAGGTGCCTGTGGACTTCCGGGAAGCCATCTCTGCGTCCATGGCTGTCTGCCACTGAGAGGAGTAGGGACCCTCTATCGCCTCTGCGTAAGAGCGCGGGGTCGGGATGTCTGGTGCATTCGGGTCTCCCTCAGGTGCAATCAGCATGGACACGAGATGAGGTACAGCAGCTGCAAAACACTCAAAGTCCTCCTGCCTGTCCTCAAGGACGTCCGTGCCGAGAGCACACTCACCCCCGACGGACGGAGGACAGACAGACTCAGACTCAGCAACAAGACTTGCGGCGTAGTCGAGGTGACAGGCGGCAGCAAAGTCAACAAGCTCAGCAACTAGGGCAGACGCAGCAGTGGACTCAAACGAAGGGTCAGTGACAACAGTGGCTAGAAGACGTGTGACAGTAGGACTGGCAGCACGAGCAAGGTCTGACGGCGGGTCAGGGACGCCAGGAAGAGAGGACGCAGGAGGAGACGGCAGAGGGACACGCTGTGGAGCAGTGGAAGGACGGAGTGCCATCTGGTGCGTGCCTGGGACAGCAGGAGGACGCGGACGCGGAACACGACCAGTGCGAACAGTGCGAACAGGCGACGCAGGACGAGACTCAGGCTCACGACGCTCGGTAAGACCCCTAGTCGGCCCAGAGTAAGGAGAAGGACCAGGCAGCGGAGAGGCTGGCTGTAACTGTGACTGCGACTGGTCAGGCCGTGGACACAGTAAGGGAGGAGTAGGACCAGTAGAGGGCGGGAGACCAAGAACCTGCTGAAGGAGTGGAGCGAAGTACGGCCGCGGCCGCGCAGCACCTCCAGAACCAGCAGAGACAGCACCAGGACCCCCAGCTCCAGGGTCTGCAGCTCCAGCTCGAGCCGCGAGCGCACTGGCTCGCGTACTCGCGACGCGTTCACGGCTCGGAGTTTCGGTTCCGCCCAGAGGCGCGGGAGACTTCCCGCGGTCGTCTCGGTTCCGCGCATCCTATCACTCGCCCGCCTCCGCACCGCCGCCCTCCGCGGGATTTGCGATGCCCCCCGCGACCCTTGCCGCCGGGGTGGGCAGTGCTTCCGCCACTGCTTCTCCCCCCGCACGCGCCTCCCCCTCCGCCACCCCCTTTTCCGCCATCCCCGCTTCCGCCCGTTTCTCCACCGCCACTCGCAACCCTTCCGCTGCCTCCACGCCCGCTGACGCATCCTCCTCCGCCGCCGCTGCCCCCGCCGCTTCCCCCGCGCCCCCCGCTTCCGCCGCGTCCGTCGGCGCTTCCGCCGCTCCCCGCGCCCCCCCCCGCCCTCGTGCCCATCTCGACGGTCCTCGTGGCGAATCGCGGTGAAATCGCGTGTCGCGTGATGCGCACATTGAAGCGCCTCGCGATTCGCTCAGTGGCCGTGTACAGTGACGCGGACCGCGACGCGCTCCACGTGCGCTCCGCTGACGTTGCGTTCCGCGTGGGACCCGCCGCGGCGCGAGAGAACTACCTGCGGGGCGACGCGATTTTGGATATCGCGGAGAGATGCGGGGCGCAGGTGAGTTGGGGGGAAGGGAGAGAAAGGGGCGCGCAGGTGAGTTGGGGGAGGGGGGGAGCGAGCGAGGGTGAGTTGTTGTGGCGCGCAAGTGAGTTGGGGGGCGCCCCCCCTCCCCGTCTTTCTCTCCCCCCTCTGCTCCTCCTCCTCTCCTCTCCCCTTTTCCCTATCACCTACCCCCCTCTCCCACTTCTTGAGGCCATTCACCCCCGCTACGGCTTCCTCTCAGAGAAAGCCGCCGTTGCCACAGCCATGCCTGCCCCCCTTCCCCTCCGCACCCACCCCTTCTGTTCCCCCGACACAACCCCCCTTCCATTCATGTGCACTCCATCAGAAGTCCATACGTCAGTCATGCAAATCCCTTCTCCCCTTCTCCACCTCTCCCCCTCTCCCCTCTCCCCCTATCAGGCAATCCACCCCGGCTACGGATTTCTCTCAGAGAACGCTGACTTCGCTGCAGCGTGTAAACAGAGAGGAGTGGAGTTCATTGGGCCGCCCCCAAGTGCTATCCGGGCCATGGGGGACAAGAGGTGACTGTAACGAAGGGAGTGATGAGGGATGTGCTTCTATTGATTTGCTGTTTGAGTCAGCTTGTATTGCGAGCATTGCCTGCCACTGCCCAATGTCATTCGGGCCATTGGGGATACAATGCGATTAAGACGAAAGGGGTGAGGGATGCGCTTGTAACGAGTGTGGTGATATAGAGTGGTTCTTATACTGAGTGCGCTACTGAGAGCATTGCCTGCCGTCACTCTGCTATCTCCCCTAATACAACACCCCCCCCCCCCACAACCCTTTCATTCCAACCCTTCCCCCATCCATTGCGGCCAAGGAGCTGATGACGTCAGCAGGGGTGCCGGTGGTCCCGGGGTACCACGGCGAGGACCAATCAGAGCGCTTCTTGCAGGAGGAGGCGGCGCGGATCGGGTACCCCATTCTGATCAAGGCCACGCAGGGCGGCGGGGGGAAGGGCATGCGCATCGTGCATCGGCCTCAGGACTTCCTTCCTAGCCTGGCGAGTGCAGCGAGGGAGGCGGCAGCGTCGTTTGGCAATGGGCGGGTGCTGCTAGAGAGATATATTCAGAGGCCCAGGCACATCGAAGTGCAGGTGCGGTGACAGGTTTGGTAACTCAGGTTCGGTAATAGTGCTTAAAAAAGCTGCTAGGGGCGGGTGCTGCTGGAGCTATAATTTTGAAAGCCGAGGCACATTGAAGCGCAGGTAGGGTTGCAGGTTCGGTGGTGCAGGTACAATTGCAGGTACGGTGGTGCAGGTACAATTGCAGGTACGGTGGTGCATGTACAATTGCAGGTACGGCCCTTCCTTTTACCCACTCCCTCCCGTCTCTCCCCTCTCCCTTTTCCCACTCCCTCCCGTCTCTCCCCTCTCCCTTTTCCCACTCCCTCCCGTCTCTCCCCTCTCCCTTTTCCCACTCCCTCCTGTCCCTCCCCTCTCCCTTTTCCCACTCCATCCTGTCCCTCCCTTCTCCCTTTTCCCACTCCCTCCTGTCCCTCCCCTCGCAGGTCTTTGCAGACAAGCACGGCAACGTGGTGCATCTGTTCGAGAGGGACTGCAGCGGTGTGTGTGTCCCTCCCCTCCATCTCCCCTCCTTTTTACCCTCTCCCTCCCTCCCCTCCCCTAACAGGTATTCGCGGACAAGCACGGCAGCGTGGTGCATCTGTTCGAGAGGGACTGCAGCGGTATGGGTGCCTCGTCACCTTCATCTCACTTCCTCCCTTCCTCCCTTCACCCCTTCACCCCTTCACCCCTTCACCCCTTCACCCCTTTGCCTCTTTACCCTCCCCTCTCTCCACGCACAGGTATTCGCGGACAAGCACGGCAATGTGGTGCATCTATATGAGAGGGACTGTAGTGTGCAGCGGCGGCATCAGAAGATCATTGAAGAGGCTCCCGCTGTAAGCACAGAAGCACACAAGCACACATGCACACAAGCACACAAGCACACAAGCACACAAGCACACAAGCACACAAGCACACAAGCACACAAGCACACAATCACACAAGCACACAAGCACACAAGCACACAAGCACACAAGCACACGTGCACACGTGCATGCACACAAACCCCCGCGCACACACGCATGCACGAATTGTTGTTTAGGCGCCTCATAATTGTCTACGGAACTGTTTTCATACCCCTAGCTTCCCTCCCTCTCTCCCACACTCGCACACACACCCCCCTACCAGCCAGGCATATCTGAGGAGTTCAGACAGAAGATCTGTTCTGCTGCTGTTGACGCTGCCAAGGTGGGGTGGGGAAGGGGTTGCTGCTGTGCCACGGTTCTGTCAGTGTGGGAAAGGGGTTTCTATGTCGGCATGCCGTATGTGCAAGGTTCTGTCCACGTGCAGTCGGTGGGGTGTGTGGGGGTGGGCATCATGGCGCTCTTTCTGTGTGCTGGCATCACCCATCACCATCCCATCCATCTGCTGCCGTGTGTGTGTGTCGCTGTATGTCTGTGTGCATGCGTGTGCAGGCGGTGGGGTACGAGGGAGCAGGCACGGTGGAGTTTATAATCGACTGTGACACTAACGAGTTCTTCTTTATGGAGATGAACACAAGGCTGCAGGTGAGCTCACTCGTGCATGTGTGCCATGTGTGTGCCGAGGTGTGGGAAAAAGGGAGTAGGGAACGCAACTGCTGCTCCCCATCACCCTCTACCCCTGCCCTTCCCTCTCCCCTCTCCCCCGCAGGTAGAGCATCCAGTAACAGAGATGGTAACAGGACAAGACCTTGTCGAGTGGCAGGTGCGCGTGGCGCAAGGGGAGCCCCTCCCGCTCGCCCAGGGGGACCTCAGGCTCTCAAAGGACGCCTTTGAGGCGCGTGTGTACGCTGAGACCGTTCCCCCCACCTCATCAACCCCTCTCCCCTCTCCTTGCAGGTAGAACATCCAGTAACAGAGATGGTAACAGGGCAAGACCTAGTGGAGTGGCAGGTGCGCGTGGCACGGGGGGAGCCCCTCCCGCTCGCCCAGGGGGACCTCACCCTCACCGCTCCTTTCATCCACCCCTCATCTTACTCCCCTTACCACAGGTGGAGCACCCGGTAACAGAGATGGTAACAGGGCAAGACCTAGTGGAGTGGCAGGTGCGCGTGGCACGGGGGGAGCCCCTCCCGCTCGCCCAGGGGGACCTCACCCTCACCGCTCCTTTCATCCACCCCTCATCTTACTCCCCTTACCACAGGTGGAGCACCCGGTAACAGAGATGGTAACAGGGCAAGACCTAGTGGAGTGGCAGGTGCGCGTGGCACGGGGGGAGCCCCTCCCGCTCGCCCAGGGGGACCTCACCCTCACCGCTCCTTTCATCCACCCCTCATCTTACTCCCCTTACCACAGGTGGAGCACCCGGTAACAGAGATGGTAACAGGGCAAGACCTAGTGGAGTGGCAGGTGCGCGTGGCACGGGGGGAGCCCCTCCCGCTCGCCCAGGGGGGCCTAAGCTCACCGGGCATGCCTTTGAGGCGCGTGTGTACGCTGAGAACGTTCCCAGAGGCTTCCTGCCGGCAGCTGGCCCGCTGCTGCACCTGCGCACGCCAGAGCCCTCTGCTTGCGGTGGGTGGGGGAGGAGGATCAGTGTGATTGTAATGATGGGGTGTGGTGACTGTGGTTCTGGTTGGTGAGTTTGTTGCGCCTCAGAAGTAAACCCTCCGTTGTGGTTAGTGAGGGGTTGCAATGGCTGTGTATCATTCCCTCCCCACCCCCCTCATCCCCCCTTTCTCCCTTTCCCCTCTGTTCCCCATTTTCCCCGTTCCCTCTCCCCTCCTATCAGTCCGGGTCGAAACGGGAGTCCAGGAGGGCGATGACGTCAGCACGTTCTACGACCCAATGATAGCCAAGCTGGTGGTGTCAGCGGCCAATCGCAGCGCGGCGCTGCAGCTGCTGCGGCAATCCCTAGGGCGGTACGAGGTGGCGGGCGTGCCGACCAATCTCGCGCTGCTCCAGGCTGTCGCGTGCCACGCGGGATTCGAGCGCGCTGACGTGGACACGCACTTCATTCAGCGCCACCAAGACCAGCTGATGACGTCACCGGTGACGTCATCGGCAGCAGGGGTGGGAGGAGAAGGAGGGGGGGGGATTGGAGGGGAGGGTGAAGGGGTTAGTGAGGTGCTTCTAGGTGGGGCAGAGGGAGCAGCAGTGGCGGCAATGGTGTGTCAATGTGTGGTGGAGAGATGGAGGGAACAGGGGGTTGCATCCCCCCCTTCCCCCCCTTCCCCCCCTTCCCCCTGGTCCTCCGCCTCTGGGTTCCGCCCCAACTACTTCTACTCCCGCCCCTTCGCGCTCTCCCCATGCCTGGGGGGAAGGGGGGGCGCGGATGGGGAGGGGGATGAGGGGGAAGAGGGGGAGGAGGCGGAGGATGGGGAAGGGGGGGCGGAAAACGGGGCGGGGGGGGCGGGCAGGCAGGGGGAGGTGGAGGGGTGGGTGAGGTACGAGGGGGATGGGAGCTTCACGGTTGGGCTGGCGGATGGGAGACACGTGGCAGCCTCTGGTTGGGTGGTGGATGGGGAGGGGCGGCGGGTGGAGGTGGAGGTGGGGGGGGAGAGAAGCCGCGTGTCGTTCTTCCAAGAGAGCACGGTGAGATGAAGGGGGGGTGGGGGGGGGGGTGTAGGGGTGGAGGGGCGGTGAGATGAGGGGATGGAGGGGGTAGTGGGTGGGGATATGGGGGGATGACGGGTGGAATCTGCATGAGGGGGGGAGAGGACACGCGTGTCGTTCTTCCAAGGAACCATGGTGAGATGAGGGCAGTAGGGGTTGGGGGGGATAGGGATGGGGAGGGATGAATGGGAGAATGGAAACTCTCTGCTTTTTTTTATTGCCTACCTGCAACCCCTCACACATCTTGTTTTCTACCCTCCTTTCACGCCCATCAGCCTCACAGCATTGTCACCCACGTGTGGGTAAACGGTCACCACCACCAGTTCGCCTCGCCTTGCCCCTCCATCGCCCCTTTTGCCCTCGACGACCACGACGACTATGATGACACCAATGATGATGATGATGCTTCTCATGCTCATGCTGATGCTCATGCTGATGTTGATGGTCCTGGCGCTACCAACGATGGGCATCATGGTGACAGCTTGATCCCTTTGGAGGCTACTCCTTCTCACCTTCTTCCCCTTACTCCACTCTCTCCCCACCCTTCCATCCCATACCCGTCAGCCGGACAGCATTCGCACCCACGTGTGGGTGAGCGGACACCACCACCAGTTCGCCTCACTCTGCCCCTCCGTCGCCCCCTTCCCCCTGGACGACCACGATGACTATGATGACGCGCATGGGCATGCGCATGCTGCCCACACCCATGGCCATGGCCATGGGCATGCACATGGGAGGGGCGTGGTGGTAACGCCGATGGCGGGGAGGGTGGTGCGGGTGGCGTGTGGGGAGGGCGCGTCTGTGCGCAAGGGGGATGTGGTGGTGATTCTCGAGTCCATGAAGATGGAGGTGAGTGGTGAGGCATGTGTGTTGATGCTTGGTAGATGAGCCTGTTGTTGCACTGGGGGAGGGCGCATCTGTGCGCAAGGGGGACGTGGTGGTGATTCTTGAGTCCATGAAGATGGAGGTGAGTTGCGCAGAGACGTGATGAGAGGTGATGTGTGATGGTGTGTGGTGATGTGTGGTGATGTGTGGTAATCCTCGAGTACTGAAGATGGAGGTGAGACCCCTTACTCTGATGTGTCTTAATTCTTTGCACAATGAGTTCACCTGTGGCGTGTTGCACTTCCCCCACCCAACCCCCCCGTTTCGTATTCTCACAATGTCATATCATCCCTCATCTCCACTCCACGAATCTCCCACCCCTTTACTTCACCCCCCTCCTCTTTCCACTCCTCTCCCAACCCACCTGCCACCCCTGCTCTCCGCGCGAGCAGCATTCAGTGAAGGCACGTCAGTCAGGGGTATTGGCCGATGTGCGAGTGGCAGTGGGGAAGCAGGTGGCAGACGGCATGCCTCTCTTCCGCGTGCTGGCCCCACAGCAAGCCGCTTCTGCCTCTCCATAGCCCTACTGCTCGCACAGTAAGCAGCCTTCCCATAGCTGTGATGCCAGTAGACAGTGGCTGGTTGGGTACTAAGGGGGAAGGGAGGGGCAGTGGGGCAGCAGGTGGCGGATGGCATGCCTCTCTTCCGCGTGCTGCCGCCAGAGCAAGCAGCATCAGCCTAGCCGTGCTACTGCCAGTAGTGGGCACTGGGCACTGCCTGGAGGAGGAGTGGGTGGAGGAGGGAAGGGGCAGTGGGGCAGCAGGTGGCAGATGGGATGCCTCTCTTCCGCGTGCTCCCCCCACAGCAAGCAGCATCAACCTAGCCTTGCTGCTGCCAGGGGTAGGCACGGCCTGGAGGAGGGGCAGGTGGAGGAGGGAAGGGGCGATGGGGCAGCACAGGTGGCTGACGGTGTGCGTCACTTCCGCATGTTGCCACCACAGGAGAAGGGTTCCCCACCCTAGCCGTGCTGCCCCTACAGTGCGGCTAGTGGAGCTGGCGGGGTTAGGGGTGGGGGGGCGTGCGTCAGCAGGTGGCACCACTTGTTGTCGCCACAGCAAGCAGCCTCGGCCTAGCCGTGCTGCCCCTACAGTGTGGCCAATGGAGTGGGTGGGGTGGGGTTGGGGAGCAGTGGGGCAGCGGGTGGTAGACGGCATGCCTCTCTTCCGGGTTTCCTCATTCTTGCCTTTCTGCCTCTACGCTGGCTAGTGGAGTGGGTGGGTGGGGGGATGGTGTGGAGGTGATTGCATGCAGCTGCATTGAGCCTCTGGCGGGAGTTCATTATAGGAGTTGTCTGCTAGTATCCGCCCATTGAAACTCTGCAAGCCCTTTTAGGATTCTCCAGGAATGTGTGATGCATGCTGTACAGCACGCTTTGCAGGTGTATATAAGTATTATTTGAGTTATCACATGCTATATCGACTTTGTACGGAGAATGGGCTCGGATATTCAGGTGAGACCAGCCGCAGCATAGATAGAAAATGGTAAATATCAGGAAAATGAAAAGGGGAACAAAAATGTCGTCCATTTTTTTCGTGAAATACCTTTCTGAGATGCAAACATTGTGTATATGTGTTTATACGTTATGCAGTAGCTAACGCTCCACTTCTCCAAGAACTTCGGACGTTTTTGTACCGGGTTAATCGGTGCAATGAAGAATATGGCGATGCAGGGCAAAATCTAAGTCAACCCCGTTCAATACGTACGCGCCACGCCCAACCGGGTGGCGAAGCTCCGTGGATGGCGCTGAGGGTAACCACGCGGATTCGTCTCAGTCAAAAGTCCGTCGCCGAGAACTTGCGAACATCGAGATTGCCGGCGCGTCTCGGCTGCTTTCAGGGATTCATCTTGACTCCAGCCGTTACACGCTTGTCTGCTAGTAATATCCTGTGCAATGCAATTCTCACAGCTATTTAGGTCGCACTGCGTTCAGAAACGGCTTCATCATTCGAAGTACTTACTTCCTCATTGTACAGCCTCGCGTCGCCTCGCGCTCAACTGACTTAAAAACGACGGCCTCCTGCGCGCCAAATTCTTCTTAGATTTATCATCTGCTTCGCGATAATAAGTGTGCTGCTGTTGACCAACTCGCAAGGCCACTACTAGTGTTAGTAACAAAAAAACGAAAAAATACATACCAGAAAACCGCTCGGATTTGACCCGCCCGGCGCGGTGCAATGACGGGCCACGCCAGATTCCTCCTCGCCATCACGCTTCTCTTTTCGTCCACGTGTCAATGCCTCGCCATTCGACGAGCTCACCGTAAGCCACGTCACTACGACCAGCTATATCAACTATCCCGTGCATTTCTGGACCCTAGTTGTTGGAAGGAAACGGTGGTGGGGCGGTGGTATGCCCCCAACCCACCGAGGGCACTTCGGTGCCTTCGATCCCTTTGACTAGGGATCGGTGGGGTGGCACCGATTGACTTCGGGAGACTCACCCTTCGGTGCCACGTGGCGGCACCACATTCCAACCTTCAAGTGCAAGGCGAATTCGGTGTGTTCGGTGTGAAATTCGGTGGTCGAATTTCACCCCAACCGAAATGTTACACGCGGCGCATTCGCGACGCGAGTGTAGCGATGTGATGTTACATGTGCGGTTCGATGTAATGCATTTGCTATAAATCGACCTGCCTTGTATGCATGCTTGATACTGAAATCCTGAATCTTCTTGTACATGGTCCATTCGAACCAAAATTCCAGAGAGGTCTATCCTTGCTTCTAAGAGCACTAGCAATCACGTGAACGCCAATATCTCGGCGTATACTTGGGCGATTAACGTGTTTGACGGCTTGTTGGAAAGCCAAGACTGTGCTCTATCGTTTAGTGCAACTTAGATTTCCTGCAAAGTAGAGGAGACGCCTCTACAACAGTGGTATCAGAGCTGGTCGGTAGAGTCTACGTGCGCGACTTGTAGCAAGCATGATGACGTCAAGCGAAACCTCCGGCACTTCCTTAGGTGGTGTCGTCTCGAATCCCGGCGAACCCTGGACAAACGCGACGGTGTTCGACACGTCGGCGGTTCCGATTTTCACGGGACAAAACTACTCCGCGTGGAAATTTAAGTTCCAAGTGCTCATGATGGAGCGGGGACTTTGGGGTCTCTTCGACGGAACGGAGAAAAAGCCGGTCAACGAGGACGAGATCGCGGCATGGAAGAAGAAGGACCAAAAGGCGTTCGCAACGTTGATTTCGCGCATCGGCATCAATCTCGTGAGTTCGGTGCGCACGTGCATCAAGCTCGAAGCTTCGGCGCGTGAAGCATGGAAGCGGCTCGAGACGATGCACGTGAACAAGACTCTCCACGGCAAGATCCTAGCCCGAAATGCGTTCTACACGGTGAAGTTGCGCGCGGGCGAATCGATGCACGAGTATGCGACTCGTGTGGAGGAACTCGGGGAAACGTTCATGGACCTCGGTGGAACGGTCACGGAGGAGGATTGGATTCTCACCTTGCTTTGCGGCCTTCCGGAAGAGTGGTCGACGTTGATTACGACACTCGATAGCGTGCAAAACACTTGGACGAAGGAAATGGTGGTCGGTCGGCTTCTCCATGAAGAATCGCGACGCCGACAATTCGCTAACGAGAGCGTGGAGACCGCCATGTTCTCCGGAGGGAGCTCCGGAAAGAAGTCCAAGTGGAGCAACGGTGAGGCAAAGAAGTCGTCCGGTGGAAACGGTCGCGGCAAGGGCAAGTGTCATTATTGTCGCAAAGCGGGGCACTTTTGGCGTGAATGTAGGAAGCGGCCGAGCGATTGGATTCCATCGAAGGCGCGGAACCAAGAGGGCAACGCGCACACGGCATCCGGCGAGGCGGATGATTCAACGGAGTCGCTCGTTTTGTTGGCCGGTGACGGGATCAACACTTCAAACGACGCGTGGTTCCTCGACACCGGTGCAACACAACACATGACGCACTCGGCGTCGCTCCTCAACAACGTCGGTGCTCCGGGAGACGTCAAGCGCGTCGTCTTCGGGAACGATAAATCGCTACCGGTGGTTGGAGTTGGGAGTACGCGTCTCATCGTCGATGGCGGGCCGGTGGACATCACGAACGTGCTTCACGTCCCGGGATTGAAGGTGAATCTACTCTCCGTCACTCAACTCGCAAAGAAAGACGTGGAGGTCACCATCGATGGCGCGAAGATGAACCTCTTTTGGAAGGGGAAGCAATTCGCGCAAGGCGTTCTCAACGGACAACTCTACCAACTCAAGACGCATCCGACAACGGCCTCATCCAACGTGGCGCAAGGCTCCAAGGCGACTCTCAAAATGTGGCATAATCGGCTTGCGTAGGCCAACTACGACTCGGTCAAAGAGTTGGCCAACAAAGGACTTGCGAAGGGATTTGACGTGATCGCCGGCAACGACGAGAAGGGCGTGTGCGCGGCGTGTGTCGAAGGAAAAATGGCTCGCAAGCCATTTGGTAGCCGTACCTCACCCCTCGCAAAGGACCCGCTTGCGCTTGTTCACATGGACGTGTGTGGACCGATGCGGCATGCATCAAAAGGAGGAGCGCGGTTCCTCTTAGTGATGCTCGACGACGCGACGCGGATGAGTTGGACCCGACTCTTGAAGGCTAAGGGAGATGCGGCCAAGGCGATTCAAGAGTGGGCGCTCGACGTTTGCGACGACGGCAAGAAGCGGATCAAGTGCATTCGCACCGACGGTGGCGGCGAATTCGTGAGCAACGAGCTTGAAAAATGGATGAAAAGCAAGGGCATTAAGCACGACGTCACGACACCCTACACACCCCAACAAAATGGAGCGGTAGAGCGGCTCAATCGCACATTGATGGAGGTCGTTCGTTCACTTCTTCAACACTCCAAGCTTGGGAACGAGTGGTGGGGAGAGGCGAGTGCGCTAGCGGCATGGATTCGTAATCGTGTGCCAACAAAGGTGCTACCGGGAACGACTCCGTTCGAAGCATGGACCGGAACGAAGCCGAACCTATACCGCCTACGCACCTTTGGGTGCCTTTGCTATTACCATGTACCGGATCCACTTCGCCACAAGTTGCAACCGAAAGCTCGTGCGGCGATCTACTTGGGGATTGCGGCGAACGAGCGTGCATGGCGAGTGTGGGATTTGGATGAAAAACGCGTCGTCACGTCTCGGGATGTGATCTTCGACGAAGACAAGTTCCCGACAAAGGAGAAACAAACGCCGCAACTCACCGTCGTCCTTCCCGCACGAGAGGAGGATGAAGCGGTGGAGGTTTCACCGCACGTGAAGAAGGGAGCCGAAAGTGGAGGGGGAGAGAATGAGGAGTGCGATGATGATGTCGAGGAGGTGCCACCAACCGAGGAGGCCACTTCCTCCGCACCTTCTTCCCTACCATTGGCGTTGACTCGCGGGCGTCGTACACCTCGCCCCAACACGAGGTTAACCGACTATGCTACGGTCGCCGTTGGGGAGTCGGATGAGGAGAGTGCGGCGATTTGCCTAGCGACCATCGGCGATGATAACCCACGCACTCACAAGGAGGCTTTGGCTTCCCCGGATGCACCGCTATGGAAGCAAGCGATGGAGAGGGAGTTAGCATCGATCAAGGAGAACGATGTTTTCGAGCTCGTCGACCCGCCGAAGGGTGCCTACTTGGTGGGATGCACGTGGGTGCTTAGGAAGAAATTGGGAGCCGATGGAGGTGTCGAACGCTACAAGGCGCGGCTTGTGGCGCAAGGGTACACTCAACGGGAGGGGGAGCACTATAGTGAGACCTTCGCTCCCGTTTCGAAGGCCTCCACTCTTCGGGTGTTGCTCGCGCTAGCGGCATCTCTCAACCTCGAGGTGGAACAATTGGACGTTTGCACCGCCTTCCTCTACGGGCTTCTCATGGAAGAAGTCTACATGCGGCAACCCCCGGGGTACGATGACGGTAGCGGTCGGGTGTGGAAGCTCAAGCGTACCCTCTATGGCTTGAAGCAAAGCCCACGCGGATGGTACAAGCGCATCGACGACTTTCTTCTTCAACACGGCTTCGCGCGTAGCGTGTGTGATAGCGCTTTGTACGTGTTGAAGGAGGGGGAGAAGCAATTGGTGCTTTTGCTCTACGTCGATGACCTCCTTCTTTTCTCCGACTCCAAAGACCTCATTCGAGAGGTCAAGCAACGGCTAGGGGCGGAGTTTGCCATGAGGGACTTGGGACCGGTGACGTACTACCTCGGGATGCACGTCGACCGCGACCGCGGCGAACGGGACCATTCACCTCCACCAAGAAAAATATGTGAAAGGGGTTGTGGAGCGCTTCGGCATGGGTAATAGCAACCCGGTGGGGACGCCACTAGACACGGGATTTTCTTGCCTCCCGGGAGAGGAAGAATCCGCCCTCGACGAAGCCGAAGGGAAGCGGTTTCATTCGCTAGTCGGCTCACTCATGTATGCCGCCGTTTCCACCCGTCCCGACCTCTCATACGCCGCCGGGGTACTTGGACGAGCCGTAAGCAACCCTCATACCGAGCATGTGCGTGCGGGAGGACGTGTTCTACGCTACCTCCAAGGCACACCCAACTTGGGAATCGTATATGAAGCCGGTCCAATCGTGCTTAAGGGCTACACCGACTCGGATTATGCCGGTGATCAAAGCAAGCGCAAGAGTACCGGCGGGTACGTCTTCACCTTGCTTGGGGGAGCCGTGAGTTGGCAAAGCAAGTTGCAACCAACCGTGGCTCTAAGCACAACGGAAGCGGAGTATATGGCACTCACTCAAGGAGCCATGGAGGCAATATGGCTACGGCGCCTTCTAGCGGAGCTTGGGCATCCTCAAGCCGACCCAACTCCTCTCTTTTGTGACAACCAAGCGGCCATAAACCTCACTCACAATGCCGTCCTTCACGGGCGTACCAAGCACATTGAGGTGAAGCATCACTTCATTCGTGAGGTGGTCGAGAGAGGTGAGGTCAAGGTCACATACATAAGCACCAAGGCGCAACCCGCGGATTTCCTCACTAAACCACTCCCTAAGGATTCATTCCGTGCATGCCGTGAGCGTGTTGGTATGAACACCTAGTGGCTTGGGTGCAAGGGGGAGTGTTGGAAGGAAACGGTGGTGGGGCGGTGGTATGCCCCCAACCCACCGAGGGCACTTCGGTGCCTTCGATCCCTTTGACTAGGGATCGGTGGGGTGGCACCGATTGACTTCGGGAGACTCACCCTTCGGTGCCACGTGGCGGCACCACATTCCAACCTTCAAGTGCAAGGCGAATTCGGTGTGTTCGGTGTGAAATTCGGTGGTCGAATTTCACCCCAACCGAAATGTTACACGCGGCGCATTCGCGACGCGAGTGTAGCGATGTGATGTTACATGTGCGGTTCGATGTAATGCATTTGCTATAAATCGACCTGCCTTGTATGCATGCTTGATACTGAAATCCTGAATCTTCTTGTACATGGTCCATTCGAACCAAAATTCCAGAGAGGTCTATCCTTGCTTCTAAGAGCACTAGCAATCACGTGAACGCCAATATCTCGGCGTATACTTGGGCGATTAACGTGTTTGACGGCTTGTTGGAAAGCCAAGACTGTGCTCTATCGTTTAGTGCAACTTAGAGTTCCTGCAAAGTAGAGGAGACGCCTCTACAACACTAGTCGCACTAATATCTCAGCACGTGAACTTTTGGTTCCAAAAACATTCCGCTCCACATTCCATTCTCACCTGAATCTCTTCCCCACTTCCCCTCCCCACGCGCACCTCATTGCTGCGCCAATCGCAGCGCCCAATCCCGAGTCCAAGTCGCTCTACATCGTTCGCCTGTGCTCCGCCCTTCCCCTCGCCGCGTATCGCGGCGGAATCGCGAGCTTCCCGGGATGGACGGACGACGACGACAAATCTGCCGGTCCGTCAGGTCTGCGGGCGACGGCGGCGACTGTGGCGCACGAGGCGGCGACACTGGCCGGCAGCATTCCGCGGCGCGCGCGGCTGAGCATGGAGAACCCGCAACTCAAGGCGTACGCGCAGATGCTCCAGACTCAGCAGACCCAAGTCGCGTCTGACGTGGGTGTGATGTCAGACAACATCGTTTACAAGTACGTGGCGGAAGAGCGTCTCAGTGAGCCTGTTTTTGAAGCCCCATTCCATGGCTCCCCTTCCAGGCTGACTTTTCCACATTCCATACCGTCCCCAACCCAAACCCTAAACCTGCACCCCATTCTCCCCCACTCCCGTTCCCCCGTCAGCTACATGCACGCGAGCAACGGGTTCGCAGCAGCCCTCTCCCCGCAGCAGGTGCGGCGGCTGGAACGACACCCGGCAGTGGCGGCAGTGACGCGCAGCCGCACCGTCACGCCCCTCACCACCGACTACCCCACGTTCCTCGGCACGCGCGCCCCCGGGTCGCTGTGGCCCGCGAATGGCGGGCAGGCAAAGGCGGGAGAGGGCATGGTGGTAGGGGTGGTGGACACGGGCATCTGGCCGGAACACCCCTCCTTCAGCGATGCGGGTTTCTCCTCCTCCAAGCCTGCGGGATGGTCGGGGAAATGCGACAGCGAGTTCAAGTGCAATAATAAGCTCATAGGTGGCCGCGTGTTTTACAAGGGATTTAAGAAGGAAATCGGCGACCCGGACCTGTCTTCGGATTGGTTGTCTCCCCGGGATTCGGATGGCCACGGCACATGGTGTGCAAGGTACATGGCTTGAATTCACTCAGGCTTTGAGATGTCAAAGGCTTGACCTTTAAATGTGAGCTGGCATGCTTAAGCCTTCAAACCGCAACCAGATGCATTGCCCCCCCGTTCACTCGGGTTTTGAGATGTCATGGTGACTCTGCTCACTCTCTGTCTATCCTCCTATCTATCCTCCCCCCCCTTCCGCCATCCACCCTCTCGGCAGTGCGGCAGCGGGCAACAAGGACGTGCCCATGGCAGGCGGCAAGGCGAGCGGCATGGCGCCGGCAGCGCGCCTGGCAATGTACAAGGTTCTCTGGCACACTGAAGGCTCTCTTACCGGGACATGGGCCGACATCGAAGCGGCAGTCAACCAGGCGGTAGCGGACGGTGTGGATGTTATCTCGATCTCGCTGGGCGGCATGGATAACAAGGAGACCTACTTCGACCACATGCCGTATCTCAGTGCTAACCTGGTGCGTTTACTTACAGAACTGCGTCTGCCATATGCTTCCAGCACACCAGTCATCACCTCGCGCTCACACTTTGTTTGCGCCCCTCCATCTCCCGTTCTACCTCTCCTTCTCCTTGCTGGTGCAGGCCGGGGTGCTTGTGTCGTATGCAGCGGGAAATGCTGGCTCGCCAGGCTACTGGGATCCCGGCTACTTTCGCACAATAGACAACTTCTCGCCCTTCTATCTCACCGTGGGGGCTAGGTGAGCCGCCCTGCCCCTCCTCCTCCCTCTTTTTCTCCCCCCCTCTCTCTCTCTCTCTCTCTCTCTCTCTCTGTCTCTCTCTCGCTCATATTCATTTAAATGCTTCTCCCTCGCTGCCCGCTTACATCCCCCTCTCTATCTTCCCGTACTCTCCCCTCTCCCTCCCCAATTCCTCCCCCCAGCACCATAGGCCGTGGCGGTCTGACCCTCAAGGCCACCACACCAGCAGCAGCAGCTCTCAGCAACTCATCCTCCTCCTCAGCCACCGCCTACCCTTCCATCGCTGATTTCTCCTCCACAGGACCCCTCTGTGACCCTGCCACTCAAGCCACCGGCGCGCTGCCCACCAACAGCATCTTAAAGCCCGACATTGTCGGCCCCGGCGTGGATCTCTACGCTGCTGCCCCGGGCGCGAAGGTCGGGAAGCCGGGCAGCTTCGCACAAATGTCCGGAACGTCGATGGCGACGCCTCAATTGGCGGGCATTGCTGCTCTCATCATGCAGAAGCACCCCTCGTGGAGCCCCGCGCAGGTCATGTCTGCCATTATGACAACTGCGAAGACTACTGACACTAGTGGTGCTGCTATCAAAAATGGAGGTGGCGAGGTTGCTACTCCGTGGGATATGGGAGCTGGTCACGTGTTCCCACGCAAGGTGCTGGATCCTGGGCTTACCTTTGACGCCCGAGCAGCTGCGTATCGGAATTTTCTGGCTGGGCAGAGTATGAAGCGGGCACAGAGGCACTTTCCGAACTCCAAGCTTACCGCGGTTGCTCCGCGCGAGTTGAACCGTCTTAGCATCTCTATTTCGCGTTTGAAGGGGATGGTGACAGCAAACAGGACGGTTACGAGCGTTGCTGATACGACCTCCACGTATTCAGTTAACATCAAGCCCCCTAATGGCGTCTCCGTCACGGTTTCACCCGACAAATTCACTATTGCTCCGGGTAAGAAGGTCACTTTCATGGTGACCTTTCAGTTGACCAAGCAGTCTAACAACACTCAATTCGGAAGCCTGACATGGGCTGATGAGAAAGGCCACTCGGTGAGAATGGTGCTTGCTGTTCAACCCTTGCATAAGTGAGTTTGTATGTGAGTGTTACCTTGTACATTCTTAGTGGGCTGATAATTGTTGCTGTATTTGTGTTAGTGCCAAACTTCTCATTTTTAGTAATTAATCCTTTGCAGATGCTGTCTAATGAAGGTGCTTTTTATTCTTTTCATTCGAACATCGGGTTCAACTGATGCCTTACACGCTCACATTCCTTTCCGTTCAAATTCTGGTTTCCAAGTGTGGAATTTCCAATTAGCATTTTCCAATAGTGGGAATAGACAACGGGAGTGCACACAAATGACGAATTGGGGTCGGACACTGAGAACGGTAACTCAGACAGGCCACTACGAGAGGCCACAAAGAATTTGGAGAAAGTCAAACTCTTTTATGTTTTAAGGAACTGATTCTTAGTAACAATATGACATTTATGTACATATACATAGGCACTTAAGAACTTTTACTCTTCGTCGTTAATGAACTTCCCTGTACCGGGGTTAATCGCCGCGACGAAGAAAAACGCGATGCTCGCGAGCAGCAGCGGCTCCAACTCCCAAACCGGCAGCCCCGTCTCAATATTCAACTGCGCCAGCGCGCCCCGCCCAGTCACCACCTCGCCAATCAGCGACGCGGCGAACCCTAGCTGCGCCATGCGCCCCACGAACAGCTCATTCGCCTTGGTAAACCCGAAGAGCGGCCCGTCCTCGCTCAGCCCAAGCGCCGACTTGAAGCTCCCGGGATTGACAAGCGGTCCCGCCGGCTCGTCGTCCACGAATCGCCCGCGATCGCCCAGCCCGCCGATCGCGCCGAGCACGGTGAATGCGATGAAGAAGAGGAGGAGCGGCTCGGCTTCCGTGATGGGAATGCCGGTTTCGAGATTGAGCTGTGAGAGAATGCCCTGCCCCGTGACGGCCTCGCCAAGGAGCGACGCGGCGAAGCCGAGCATCGCGACGCGCCCCACGAAGAGCTCGTTGGCCTTGGTGAAGCCGAACCCGCCCGAAGTGCCGAAAATCCCATCCTCTGTGCGGAGCTGCTTCTTAACGGGGACGTTCTTAGCGGGAGCGGCGGAGTTGCTGAAGTTTAGGAGGGCGGAGACGCCGAGCCCGCGAGGGACGATTGGCGCGGCAGCCACTAAATTGCGAGTGGAGAGAGCAGCGCCCTTCACCGCGGTGCTGAATGAGAGAGCCGCGACGGCCTGACGCGCAACGAGGGAGGAAGCCATAGAGAGAGAGTGTGTGTGGGGACAGGTGGAGAATATGAGGCTCGAATGAGAATTAGTCGTCAATTTTGAAGATGTGAAGGCTTGATAGCTGATCCTCTCAATATATGTGTCTTGAACTCCGTCGAGTCGCGAATCGGAACAGAGTGCAGCTGCTCGAGAAAAGCCCACATTAAAAAATGACCATCAAATTCATCAGTGAGACGTGGCCGAGATCTCTGGCTGCCATGCTGGAGGCTGGTGTTTTGAACTGTCGCGTGGAAGCACTACACGTCACCCTGTCATGGGAGCTTTCCATGCTGGCACAAAAGCGTTTCTCGCTTTCCAGAATAGAGGCCGAAAATCGTACACATCAGATCAGCGACCTTTCTCGAGACTCCCAAACAAATTGGGACGCTAGTGTTGACCTCCTCTGACCTGATTTGTTGGACGAAATGCCTGCCAGCTCCGCATCCTATGAGCAACATCAGAATTTGGTGCAAGTACAGTAGACAGTTCAATTGGATGATGCAGTGTACATAAATACCATGACATGGATTTACAATAATACAATACAGAAACTTAGTGTTACATCATTTGTTTTATCCTGTTAACTAAAATGCCTGTACAACAATAGCAGATCTCACTGCGTGCCCATTATCGTCTTCCCAAAGAAGGCTTCCAAACTGGAAGGTCTTGTACGGTTTAGTGACGTTCAACACCACCCGATACGTGACTGCTTTTCCAGGAGATATTGTGAAATGGTCTGGCTGAACTGTAACCTTAACTCCTGGAGGCTCTGTCACCCGTGCTTTGTACGTGCAACTCGAACTTGCAACGCTCACCACCATTCTAAACACCACTACCGCCCCTTTCAATTTCGCCACCGAAATCGTTGGCCGATTCAAATTCCACGCTTTCTTCCGATAAAGCTTCGCACCCGGAAACTCCTTCTTTGCTGCCCGATAATCCTGCCCGGCGAGAAAATTCACATAAGCCCATCTCCGGGCATTGTACGTCAGCCCAGGGTTTAAAGCCCTCTGGGGAAACACATGCCCGGATCCCATTTCCCAAGGGGTAGCAGCCACACCGCGCTCATTCAAAATTCGCCTCCCCTTGGTGTTCCTAGTTATGGCGGTGGTCATGATGGCGGACATGACCTGCGGGGGGCTCCACGTGGGATGCTTCTGCATGATGAGAGCAGCAATGCCCGCCAAGTGAGGCGTCGCCATCGACGTCCCCGACAGCTGCGACGCCTCCCCCCCTCGCCTGCCCCTCCCCCCTGCCTTCCCTGGCTCCGTGCCGACCCATGCCGCCCAGAGGTCGACGCCTGGGCCGATGATGTCGGGCTTTAAGAGGCTGTTGGAGGCATGGCCCGGGGGAGGGCGGGACCAGGGGCGGTGGAGGGGGCCGGAGGAGGAGAAGGCGGCTACTACTGGAGCGGCTGGAGCAGCGGCTGTGGCAGATGGGAGTGCTGCTGTGATGGATGGAGCATGTCTTGACTCAGTGGTGGTGGTGGTGGTGGTGCTGCTGCTGCTGGTGTCTGTTGAGTTTTTCCCTACTGTGGTCGCGGCTGCTGCAGTGCTGAGGTGTGTTTCCGCTTCCTGCTGATTGTCACTTTCTGCTTCGCTGCTCCCGTATTCGCCGTCTGATGCAGGCGAGGAGGCGAGAGACACGCCTCCTCGTATAATCGAGCTGGAACAGAGGGGTTGAGAGGAGAGAGGGAGGGGAAGGGGTGATGAACGATGGAGGAAGGACGAGGGGCGTATGTTGAATGCTGAGGAGACGAGGGATACGCCTCCTCGTGTAATGGAGCTGGAACAGGGGGGTTGAGAGGAGAGAGGAGTGGAAGGGAGGATAGCCGATCAGGGAACGGATGCGGAGGGAATGGGGCCATGGTGGTGGTGGGAGGGCGCATGTGACGACGAGAGGGCGAATGATGCCGTAACTCACCTTGCTCCCACTGTGAGGTAGAAGGGAGAAAAGTTGGCGATGGTGCGGTATGTGCCCAGGGGGTTTGAAAGAGGCGCCCCGTTGTTGCCTGCTGACATTACCACTGTCACCCCTGCCTGCAGGGACGGAGAGGAAAGAGAGGGGGAAGAGGGGGAGAGAAAAGAAGGGGGGGAGGATTTGGTGAGAGGGAAAAAGAGGATGCCTTCACAGAGTGACCGAGAGTTGCATGGGGTATCGAGCGCACTACTGCCACCCCGGCCTGCAGGGATGCAAGGACATAGCGGGGATATGGGGTCTGGTGAGAGAAAGAAAGTGTGGCATGGGGTATGGCGTTTACATGCTGAAGTTTGAAACCTGGTGACACTACCTTGAGCTACACAAACCCATGCACCACGTTTGTTTGCATTCATGTATGCGACATCATCGAGACAGGTGGCATCGGGTGCATCAGCCGAGAAAGACATGGAGAGCACAGAGAGAGCCAGAACACCTTGTGGCGCCTGCTCCCCCCCCTGCCCCTGTGAGTCAACTCAAGTCAACGCACCAGATTCGCATTCATGTACGCCACGTCATCAAAGTACGTGGCATCGGGGTCGTCGGCCGAGAGGGATATCGACATCACATGCACGCCGTCCGCTACAGCCTGATTCACTTTCCACCCCCATGTTGTGTTGTGGTTAAAGCCTTATGATGATCAGAAGGCCTTGTACCTTGTACCTGCCCCTTCTCCCCTCCCTCCCCTCCCCCCACCCCCCCAATCTCCAGGCAAAAGCCCCCCCCCCCCTGCCTATGCGAGTCAACTCAAGTCAACGCACCAGATTCGCGTTCATGTACGCCACGTCATCAAAGTACGTGGCTTCAGGGTCGTCGGCCGAGAGGGATATGGACAGCACATGCACGCCGTCCGCTACAGCCTGATTCACCGCCGCCAGAAGATCCGCAGACTCGCCGCCCAGAGCGCGCATCTCTGGGCGGTCGCCTTGGGAGTACCAGAAGACCTTGTAGGCTGCGAGGCGCGCTGCGGGCGCCATGCCGCTCGCCCTGCCGCCCGCCATGGGCACGCCGCTGTTGCCCGCTGCTGCGCTGCAGAGAGAGGGGGGCCAGGGGTGGGGGGTTGGGGACGGGGCGTGGGGGATTGAGTCTCACAAGCATTTCCGCCTGCCATCGGGACGCCACTGTTGCCCGCTGTCGCGCTGGGAGTGACACGGAGAGGGAGACGGAAGGGGGAAGATTAATGAGACAGTGAGGGTGAGGGTGAGGGTGAGGGTGAGGGTGAGGGTGGGTGGGTGGGGGCGGAGTGGGGGTGGGTGAAGGCATATTGGTGGTTGCTGGGTAGGAGGAAGAAGAAAGGCGAGTGTGTTCCTGAAAATCAGGGATGAAATGTAGTCAAGGGAAGGGAAGGGCTGGGGGGTATGGGCGAGGAGCATAGGGAATTGGTGGAGAAGAGGAAGGAGACAGTGAGAGGAGGAAGGGATATTCTGCCGACTTACCCTGCACACCAGGTGCCATGCCCGAATCCATCTCGCGGCGACAGCCAATCGGTAGTGAGATCCGGTCTCCCGTGCTTCGCTCGGAATGCCGCGTTGAATACCCGCGCCCCGATGATCTTGTTGTTGCACCGGAAGTCTGACGTGGCATCGCACGATCCTGACCATCCGTTTGGCCGGCTCGCGCTGAGATTTTTGTCGCTAAACGACGGATGCTCGGGCCATATTCCTGAGTCTATCAACCCCACCACCATCCCTTCCCCCGCCCTCCGCTGCCCGCCAAGCGCGCGCCACGTTCCTTCGCTTCCGCGGTTGGCGCGGTTTTGCGCGCCTGCGCGTCCCGCGAGCCCCAGGAACGCGGGGGAATCGATGGTGTCGGGGCGCAGGGGGCGGCTGGGGCGCGCGGAGGCGACGGCGGGGTGGCGCGCGAGGCGGTGGAGCTGCGCGGGGGAGAGCAGCGCGGCGAATCCGTTGGTGACGTGCTTGTAGCTGATAGGTGCGTGGAATGGATGGGGAGAGGAGGGAGGGCTGGTTCGTCAAGTCCAATTCAATCAAGAAGTGTTGGTGTGCGCGGATGCGTATGAATGTAATTCGTAAGGGGATTTTTTTGTGTGTTCAGGCTTATATCAACGGTACTGCGTGCGGCATGCGCCTCACCTGTACGCGATATTATCCGCCGCGATACCGACTTCCGAAGCAACCTCCGCCTGCATCCGCGCCAGCAACTCCGCGTACGCGCGCACGTGCGGAGCGCGCATGCTCATCCGCGCACCCCCAGCCGCGGAACTCCCCAGTGTCGCCGCCTTCAGACTGCTCGGAGTCTCAAGCGTCGGATTCCCGGACCTGCTGCCTGCTTCGCTTCGCGAATTTTCGGAGCCGGTAATCGCGCCAACCGCGGGCCGCTGAAGCGTCGCCCATGTGTCGTCTTCCCCGTCGGCACGTGGATCGTCGCCGCTGTTGGTAGGTACGATGGCGGGATAGCCGGCGATTTCGCCGCGGTATGCGGCGAGCGGAGGCGCGGAGTGCAGGCGCACGATGTACATACTGGCGTCCGCGTCGCGAGATGGCCCGGGGGGCGTGATTCGCGGTTCGTCAGATCCGTGGGATCGTGTGGGTGTCGGTAGCGCCGCGAGCAGCAGCAGTGACGATACGAGGATGACTAGGATAGCCATTCCGGCAGATCTGCGCTAAAGACGCCTGCTCGCTTCTTCTGCCAAGTAGTAGCGGCGTCGGCTCAATTTGACGTGCGCGGACTACCTCGTATTTGATCAACGGCAGATGGGTCGGCCTATAAATAAGTGATTTTCGTTCCCACTACACGAGCGTATGATATGTCTGTCCGTACACATATCGCACGGGGGTGCACAGTGCCGAGCCGAGTCAATCGGTCAAAGGTGTATGTGTGGCGTCACAGGTGTCGGGTCGCTTCGCTTGATGTTGTGGTGTGCAGAGAGTGCGCTTAGGCGTGTCATGGCGTGTGGCTGGATCTTGCTTTGCTCGAAACGATTAGTGAAGTGTGAGTTTCAGGATTTGGGTCCCAAACGATTAGGTGTGGGGGTGGCTCAGTGAGAGCAGCGACGGCGCGCGGTAGATTCGAGAAAAAAGGGCGATTTGAGGAAGCCGGCCCGCACCGCATACTTGATTGACGCGAGGAGCTTCCGATTTCGCTATGCTTGTAACAGGCGCAGACGGGTTTCGCAATTCGCGATAGCCACTCATATGAGATGCCAGCGTCTTATTGTGTGGCGAAAATCGCAGCTGTTCCAAGGTGTTGGGATGGGACGAATGAGCGGCGAATTCATCGCTGGTGGTGAGTGGTGATTTGCGCGACACCGTCAATCCCCTAAACCGAGTCGGACTTCGAGTGAACCGCGCTTCGTGTAAGCCCACCCAGCCAGTTTGCATGTCTGCAAACTTTGGATTGATAATACTTTAGCTACAGTTTTTGCATCAGGGTGAAAATACTACTGAGCCTGGAAAATAAGTAGAGAAAGATAAGGCCCTGACAATAAATAAAATCAGCACATTTCACCTGACATGTCGGGCCTGGTCAGGTTGCAAACACTATACAATACAGCCAGCCATTGTGCTAGTGAGGCATTCACAAGCATGGCACCACATGAAGGACCTCAGCAGCAGCCCACCCATTCAATGCAGCGTATAAGATCAAATGTGACCCTGCTGCATGGGGTATGTCCTTTCTCCCTGCACACAATTGTACGCTCTCGCTCACAACTTGGTGGGTTGAACTGCAAGCACCATTCTCACCGAGTGCCCTTTACCATCGGCCCACATTAGGCTTCCAAACTGGAAGTCATCGGAAGCCTTAGTCACCTTGAAGGTCACCGTGAAGGTAACCTTCCCATCCTTAGCAATGGTGAATTTACTCGGTGAAACCGTGACATCCACGCCTTAGGAGGCTTGATGGTAGTTGTGTATGTGGCCGACGCACCAAGAAGGCTTGTCACGGTCCTCGTTGCTGTCAGCGTCCCCCTCAAGCGGGAGATTAAAATGCTCGGACGATTCAACTCACGGGGAGCATTCGCTGTCAGATTAGCGCCCAGAAATTCCTTCTATGCCCGCTTCATGCTCTGCCCGGCAAGAAAATTCCGATACGCAGCTGCCCGGGCGTCGAACGTAAGCCCAGGATCCAGCACCTTGGCTGGGAGCACGTGACCAGCTCCCTCATCCCACGTAGTAGCGGCCTCGCCGTAAGAATTCTTGATAGCAGCAGCGCTTGTGTCAGTGGTCTTGGCGGTGGTCATAATGGCAGACATGACCTGCGCGGGGCTCTATTTGGGGCGCTTCTGCATGATGAGAGCAGCAATGCCCGCCAAGTGAGGCGTCGCCATAGACGTTCCCGACAGTTGCGAATAAGTCACCGGCTTCCCGACCTTCTCAGCGGGCCAGGCAGCGTAGAGATCCACGCCCAGGCCGACAATTTCGAGCTTTAAGATGCTGTGGGTGAGGAGAGCGCCCGTGGCATCGAAGGAAGGGTCTGTGAGGGGGCCTGTGGAGGAGAATTTGGCAATTGAAGGGTAGGCCATGGCTGCTGGGGTGACTGATGATGAGTTGCTGAGAGCTGTTGCTGCTGCTGTGGTGGCCTTTAGGGTTAGACTGCCACGGCCTATGGTGCTGTGGGGAGGAAGAGCGGGGTGGGAGGAGGGAGAGGGACGAGGGAGAGGGGAGAGGGAGAGGGGAGAGAGTGAGGAGAACGAGGAAAATGTGGGTGAGCAGCAAAAGGCAGTGCAAGCAGGAGAGGTGGCACGGGTGGGAAGAAGAGGGGATAGAAGGGTAGAGAATCTGCCGGCTCACCTGGCCCCCATGTTGAGGTAGAAAGGCGAGAAGTTGTCAACCGTGCGACCCGAGAAGGAGCTGTATGGGCCAGCATTGCCCGCCGGGTTGGCCGCGAGATACGGCATGTGGGAGAAGTATGTGTCCGTTGAATCCATGCCGCCCAGTGAGAGCGAGAGCACATCCACACCGTCCGCTACCGCCTGGTTGACGGCGGCTTCGATGTCGGCCGATACGGCGAAGAGGGATCCGGAAGAGAACCAAAAGACCTTGTACATTGCGAGGCGCGCTGCTGGCGCCATGCCGCTCGCCTTGCCGCCTGCCATGGGCACATCTTTGTTGCCTGCTGCCGCACTATGGAGGGGAGGGGGTGAGGGGGGGAAGTAGGACAGATAGGAGGATAGATAGAGAGTGAAATGAGTCACCGTGACATTTCAAAGCACGGGTGAGCAGAGTCATTACGGGCACATCCTTGTTGCCTGCTGCCGCCATGCAGGTAAGTCGATGGGTGACTGAGGTGGGGAGGGGAATGGGAAAAGGGTGGGGGATACGTTGAGGCAGGTGAGTCGCCACAATGGGCTACAATACTGAACAGCGTCGGCATAGGCATCGCATATGCACCATGGCTATGAGAATTTCAGAAGCCATCGCCTCGTGGGTTTCCAGCCTTAAGGCATCTCAAAACCCACTTGGCAAGCCACGTACCCTGCACACCACGTGCCGTGGCCGTACAAATCCCGAGGCGATAGCCAATGGGTCGACAGGTCGGGCCCGCCATTGTCCTCCTTAAAGCCCTTGTAGAACGCCCTCGCGCCAGTCAGCTTATTATTGCACATGAACTCGCTCGTCGTGTCGCATTTCCCCGACCACCCCGCAGGCTTAGAGGAGGGGAACCCCGCATCACTGAAGGAGGGGTGTTCCGGCCAGATGCCCGTGTCCACCACGCCGATCACCATTCCCTTGCCCGCACCACCCCTTTATTACCAAACGCCCCCTTGCTCCCTCAACAAGCTTTTGAGGAAAAGCTTTATCCCCACTCATTTCCCTCCCTGATTCCATTCTTCCTGCCCGTTCCACCTTCCCCCTTCCAGCCACACCTTTGCTAAACCGCTCACCCGCCTGCCCACACATTCACCTGGCTGACAACCTCAGAACCACTAATGGGTGGCCAGAGGGGCGGAGGGTGGGGGGAGGCAGGTGGAGTGACGTGTACCGGGGGATGGGTAGAAGGGGGGGATGGGGGGATGGGGGGCCGCATGGGGGGAAGGATGGGGAGGGAACAGGAGCGAAGAAGCAGAAATCGGGAGAGGTGTCGGTGGGATCGAAGGGGAAGGGAGAGGGGAGCAACAAGGGTGAAGGGTCACAGGGAAAGCGGAAGGGGAGTGGCAAGGGGGAAGGGTCGCAGGGGAAGCAGAAGGGGAGTGATCAGGTGAAAGAATCGCAGGGAAAGCAGTTTTCAGGGGCAAGGATGGGGAAGGGGGGAGGCGGGGCGACAAGTGGGCAGTGAAACGCATGAGGGGAGGGGGGGGGGGCGAATGGGGCAGAGAGGGCGGAGATTGAGGCTCATGTGGCGTGCTTGGCTCGCCTTGGCCACCCCAACGTGCTTGCGCTCGTGGGGTGGTGCTGCTGACCTGCAGCCGAGGGGAGGGAGGGGGAAGGGGGGAAGGAGCCAAGGGGTGAGGAGGCAGGGGAGGAGGAGGGAAAGGGGGAGGGAAGGGGGAGGGACGCAGGCGGGGGGAACGGGGGAAGGGAGGCACATGGTGGGGTTGAGGGGGAGGGGGGCGTGCAGGAGGGTGGGCATATGGAGGAGGTGGAGAAGGAAGGGGTGTGCAGGAGGGGGGGAATGAGCTGGTGTTGGTGTACGAGTGGATGGAGAGGGGCAGCTTGGAGGCAGCTTTGCAGCCAGGTGTGCACTGAGGGGCCTGTATCCATCTCAATCATCTCAGCTCAAGCTGACCATAGATTCTGGATCTGGCCGCCATGGATATTGTCGATCCGTTTAACTCGTTCGCTCTAAGAGCTCTCTCGGCTTTCGATTACAAGAACGGCATTTCTGGATTCAGCTCAACGCAGCGCGCAGTTTGGTATAACTTTCGTGCCTTCTTAACGGGCATCATATCGGACTCGCATTCGGGCTTCTCCAGGTTTCATGCTTCTAATCTCGAGGCTCTGCAGGTTAAGCTACTAATCCCAAGGCGTGCCAGTTTCAACGCTACTTTATATCTCGATCGCTATTATACACCTAACTATTTACAACTTATCAAGACCTTGGGACTACACAAATCTGGTTTCTCCACCTCGGAAACTCAGCATCAGCTACTTGAATGCTGGTCCTCTTGCATCAGCATCTACCTACTTAAACGGCTGGTTTTCTGCTGTTCAACATCATTCAGTCAGATCAGCTCTTGCCAGGCTCTTCTCCCACAGCTTCTGCTCGTCACAATGCCTCCGAAGACTTCCCGCAAGGCTGTCACGGAGATCACGCCGGATCCGGATACTCCGCTGGTGGTCACGCCTACGGTACCTGTTGGCACAGACAGCGAAGGATTGAAGGATGAGACGGAACTCCCGTCGACCAAGGATGCAACGGTGGCTGGCTCCTCTGGTCTCTCTGCGAAAAGCAAGGCTGAAGTTCCAGCTTTTGGAGAAGAGCTTCAGGACGATTCTGATGACGAGCTCGACATTGACTTCAAGACTGATGAGATCTGTAATCTGCGTCACACGGCTATCCTGCTGATTCCTTTTATGCTCGCTCAGGAACTTGCCTCGGTGGTCTCGACGGTCAAGGTGCTGATGAAGCGGGTCTGATGCAACGTTCTTTCTGCTAACGCCGCTGACTCCGCGAAGTTTCAGATCCTGCAACCGGCTTACATCGCAAAGATCCGCTTCTGCAGGCTTCAAGTCTCGTTCCTGTTGGAGGGTGATGCGCATGGAGTACGTCAGTTTGAGGTGGACTACCAGAGGGTGAACGGCAAGCTTGTCAGGCTCTATTGGCAGCACACGGACAACCTGGCGTTCGTCAGGGAGAGATCTACGAACCCGCTGGCGGTCGAGGTTGTCCTCCGCAATGTCTCCGCTTCGGTCACCCCCGAAGCACTACAGCGTATGCTCGCTCACTACAAGCTGAAGGCCAGTCAGAGGTCGATCTACAAAGCAGGTCTCAGCTTCCACAGAGTTCTTCATCCCATTACCGGTGCTGACACTGACGTCGTCAAAGGCTTGGTGGTGCCTCACGACGGGAAAGTGCGCTGGCGGCACGCGATCAATGACCCTGCTGATCCGGAGAAGCTGATCCTGATTCACTACCCGATGCTGTCATGCAAGCTGTGTGGGGGACAACACGAGGAGAAGCATCATGATGCCTTTGTCACGGAACGGCAGGGTAACATCGGCAAATGGAACCTGACCCTCGGTCGGGCTCACAGGATCAATGGTAACCCGTTTTTCACGCGCTCTCATAAGCTATCCCGTGGCTCTGCTGTTGTTCTTACCGCTAACTTTTTCCTTGAACCTCTGCAGCTGCCTCCGTAAGGCTGAATCAGCTGACCCTCCCCATCCTGCGAGACCCTGCGATTGCGCTCATCTCCACCGGGGGACAGAGGGAGGAGTGGTTGTGCACTCAGATGGGATGCAAGAAGGCACACGGCGTGTCTTTCATGGAAGCTCTCGATCATGTCCGCTCTGCGAATCATCTATCGCACCTCGAGAAGCTTGGCATAGCCACCAGACTCACCCTAGAGAAGGCAAGCCTCAGTGTCACCTTGAAGGACTATGGGCTTCAGAACTCCAGCGACTCGGTCGCATCTCAGCAGCAGCGTCGGTAGTGTTCTTTGCAGTCGGAGTTGTAGCCTCATTTACCCTGTGGATGCGTAGGGGTCACTTTCCTGTTGTCAATGGATAATAAAGCCACCACCCTCACCTTCGCGACACTGAATGTTAACGGTCTCGGTGACAGATCTAAGCAAGTTAGAACACGGGACTGGGCTAGGACAGCAGCAGACTTTGTTATACTGACAGACACTAGGCTAGCCTCCAACCACACTTACTGGAGCTCTCTTACTTCCTTTACCGTTGCCGCATCGTCTGCTCCAGCTAGAGCCAGCGGTGTAGCGCTCCTTTGTAGGAACCCTCACTTTAGCCTTAGAGACATAGTCGCCCATCCGTCCGGTAGGATCCTGCAGGCCAGCGTACACGGGTTAGGAATCGAAATTGTAGTCTTAGGAGTCTACTTCCCAGCTGACTCGGCAACCAGGAACAACTTCGTCACGCACACGCTAGGCCCGGTCTTAGATCTCATTCCTCCCTCATCCCACCTTATCATCGCTGGTGATCTGAACCTCGTAGAAAATCCGGTCCTTGATAAGTCCTCGAAGCTCGGATCCTCCTATGAGAACGACAAGCTCTTTCGCCGTTGCGGCGCTTTTCAGATCTCGGACGCGTTCAGAACCCTGCATCCGAGGAAGAAGGAATTCACTTTCTACTCGAGAGCGAAGAAAGCTAGCTCTAGAATAGACCGCATCCTCCTCTCACACTCACTGCTGTCTCACCTTGACACCGCGATCCACATCATGCCAGAGGAAACCATCTCAGATCACGATTTCGCCGCCAAGGTTGGGCTTCGTTTGTACTTGAAAGCCAAATCCGGTCCAGGCCTTTGGAAGATGCCGCCTGACATGATCAACAGGCCGGGGGTTAAGAGAATCATTGATGCTACGGTGAAGCGTACGCGAGTTACTGACGGCAGCAGTTTTGAACTCCTCACCTCCAGGCTGAACGCCGGTCTTCGGTCCTATGTTCGGGAGGAAGGCAAGCGTGTCCGTGCTACCACCTCCCATCTTGCCGCCGCTGTCGCCAGGCTGAAGCAGGAGGCCATGGCGGACCCTCGGGGTTTCGCCCACGGTGAGCTCCTGGAGTCCAAGGTGAAGCAGCTGAAGGAGTACCACGCGTCGCGGAGAGAACGTATGCACCTCTGCGCAGGAACAAGGGAAGAAATGGTTGGTGAAATAACCTCCAAACACCTGACGGGGAAGATTCAGGCACGAAAAGCTAAGACCCAGATAGCGGAGCTGAAGGTGAACGGATCAACTATCGCGGACACCAAAGGGATTCTGGGTGCCGCCGCAAATTTCTTCGAGGGTATCTTTGGGGAGGACCGCCGGAGATGTTCAAGGAGATGGGTCCCGGCGCCGGGCAGGAAACTCTCATGGGAAGCCGCCAGGGAGCTGGAGGCGGACAGGTCAAGGAGGCTTTCAAGGCGATGGCGGTGCGGAAATCTCCGGGCAGCGATGGTCTCCCAAAGGAATTTTTTGAGGCCAACTGGGACTCTCTGGGAAGCAGCTTCATGGCGCTAGCTGACAACTTCGCTTCAACGGCTTCGCTCCCTGCAGAGACAAAGGAGGCTGTTACGATACTGCTGCACAAGAAAGGGGATCGGGACTCCCTGAACAACTATCGCCCGATTACTCTGCTGAAGTCTTCCTACAAGATACTGGCAAGGGTGGTGGCGAACCGCATCAAAAAAGTGCTTCACCAAGTTATTTCCCCAGAACAATATGGTTTCATACCCGGTCGGCGGCTGTCGGATGCGGTGGCTCTGGTCGCTGACGTTATTGACGCGGCAAAACACGGCAGTGAAGACTGGTATCTTCTTCTCGTCGATTTTCAAAAGGCATTTGATTCGGTCTCACGCGTCTTCATCTTCATGGTGCTGCGGAACATGGGATTCCTGGAGCGTTTTGTGGCTTGGGTGGAAGGCCTGCACGAAGGCACCACGACGAAGCTGCTAATCAATGGATGGTTGAGTGAAGGGATACAGGTGCGGTCGGGGGTCAGGCAAGGGTGTCCGCTTGCCCCTTACCTCTTCCTCTGCGCCGTGGAGCCGTTGGCGCAGCTGGTGGAAAAAAGGAAACTGGGGCTCAGCCTGGCGGGGCAGAGGTTGGCATACCTGGGGTATGCCGATGACACAACCCTCATCCTGCAAGGGAAAAGTCAGATCAAGAAAGCGGTTAGGGCGCTGGCCAGGTTTGAAGCTGAGTCCGGCCTGTCGACGAACAAGGGGAAATCGGTTGTTATGCCGCTGGGAGTGAACCTCACCTCAAACCCTATCGCATCAGACGGTTTTAAGTGGGCGGCGGCGGATGAAGCAGAGCGTCTTCTGGGGGTATGGATCACGCCGAACGGAAGCTGCAGACCGACGTGGGAAAAGGCGTTAGAAGACATCATGGGGAAGCTGCAGAAATGGCATGAGCAATACCTCACGGAAACTTCGAGAGGGTCGGTGGTGAACAGCTACATCTCACCGAAGATTTCATTCCAACCCCCCGCCGGATGACATATGGCTGGAGATCGACAGATCGTTGCACAACTTCGTCTCGGCGAACCGTCCGACCTCCGCAAAGGGTTTCATCCTCTGGCGCCGCGAGTTGGTGTACCTGCCAAGGGATCTGGGAGGACTTGGAGTGCGGGACCCGGGTATTCTGTTTGCATGTCTCTCGGCAAGGCGTGCGGCGATGTTAGTCACGGAAACCAATCTGCTGAAAAAGGACATCATCGTGAAAGCAGCGGAGCTACCGATGGGGGTGGACTCTTTCACGGCCCACAAGAACCTCATCCGCTACTGGACAGGCAGGGGGCCGCGGTGGAAGATGATATGTGAAACCATCCTGAAATCGCCGTTGGGTGTACGGCCTCTAGCGCAGGAAGCGGCAGATGTGGCGCGTGAACCGATCCTGTTCAACCGGCGCATTTTACCCAATGGAAAGACACCACTGGGAGGGCAAAAATCAGCAGCGCGGCTCAAGGACTGGAACCTAGGGAAGCTGAGATGCACTGGGGCGGATGGGGAACTTGTTTTCAAATCGCTGGAGCAACTAAAAACGGAACTGGGGGAGATAGGGCCGGCGAGATTGGCGCTCAAGGCGTTGGAAGCAGTGCCGGAGGAC